ATCAGTTTTGTCCCAACACTCGGGCGAGTGGGGTCTTTGGGTGTGGACATTCGGTCTTTTTCAATTCAATACACATTTTGAGGTCAGATTTTGATCCGTATGATCTAGTTTTGTCGGACATTTAGGCTTAGCCATCCGATGGATGGTTGCTGTTGTGGTGTACCACAGCGCGGTGACGACGACACTGAGGGTTAACCGAGGATGTACATGAATGGCCAGCCTATGGATGGTTGCTGTTGTGGTGTACCCCAGTGCGGTGACGACGACACTGAGGGTTAACCGAGGATGTACATGAATGGTATGGATAGTTGCTGTTGTGGAGTACCCCAGCGCGGTGACGACGACACTGAGGGTTAACAGAGAATGTGCAGTGAACAATGTTCTCTTTACTCCGCAGTCTTTTAACCAAGGGTTGTAATTTTGGCTGTACGTTTGGCAGGCCTACTCATGTGCCTAATGAGTTTTGATAACATTTTTCACCCAAGCGTTTGGGGGCGGGCTGATGAGAGCCACAAGGACACATCACCTCTGGGGGCCGCCAAAACCCCGAGATCCCCTGACAGCTCTGTTAATGCTCATTTGAGACATTATCCGTGGCGCACGACGAGGACGTGCTGCCGGGGTCTTGCGTGAGGTTCCATACAACCAGGATATTAAAGGACTGGCGCCCGAGTGACGTACGGAGTATCTCCTTATACACATCATGTTGGACTTAACTTCCCCGGGCAGACTCTGAAAACGAGCGTTATAGTACAGAGTGCCCCGGGGTCAGAACGGAGTTATCCTATCTCTTAGGACCGACTGACCCATGTTCAACTGCTGTTCACATGGAACCCTTCTCCACTTCAGTCTTCAAAGTTCTCGTTTGAATATTTGCTACTACCACCAAGATCTGCACCCGGGGCGGCTCCACCCAGGATCACTCCCCAGGCTTCCAGGCTCACCCCGACGGCCCTCCTACTCGTCTCGGCCTTGTCTTTTCGAGAGACCGATTGCCGAGACGGCCCGGTATGGGTCCGACGCTCTAGCGCCATCCATTTTCAGGGCTGGTTGATTCGGCAGGTGAGTTGTTACACACTCCTTAGCGGGTTCCGACTTCCATGGCCACCGTCCTGCTGTCTATATCAACCAACACCTTTTATGGTGTCTGATGAGCGTCAGCGTTTGGCACCTTAACCGGGCGTTTGGTTCATCCCACAGCGCCAGTTCTACGAAATGAAATAGCAACACAATTCATTGTCACAATTATAACCAATATTGAAAAGGACTTGGCTAGCTCACTAATCAGAGGTTTTAAGTGGCTAATTGAAATCGAACGAAGGAACGAATATGGTCATAATTGATCGTGCTGTCTTGAATTTCCCTTTTATATGTTAAGTCCAGGTCGCAGTCTAATTACACAGGTCAGCGGCTTTCTAGAAAGATGAGGGTGTTGACTGGGTCTTCAGGATGGTAAACTATATTTTCAAAATCCTAACTTTTTCAAACAGCACATTTTGTGTGTTTGGATTTTTTTTTTTTTTCATAGAAATCAACGTGCAAACCCTTTATGTTTTACTTTCTCTGTTTGGTCCGGGACTCTAACAACATTCAGGGACACCGCCAGAAAGAAATCATAGGATGGGGGTGGAGGTGTCTCAGCTCTATGATAGTGTTCTAGGTTGTGGGGGTCACAAGGGGTTTTAGCGCTGTTTTAGTGAGCACAATTATTATTATCTTTATTGTATGATGAATGGAACAAAATTAGTTAGTTAGTAAGTTAGTTGGGTTATCATCACTGCACTCCAGGGATGTTCATATGTGCTTAGATCCTACCCTCAGTATGAACCCCAGCGTGCGGTGGGTAATAGTTCCAGTTCTATGTTGATTAACAAATCCTCTGATGACCCTGGTGTGCGTCTCTGTTTTTGTTGTTGTTTTTGTTTTTGTTGTTGTTGTTGTTGTTGTTGTTGTTATGCCGAACTAATCTTCCAAGTCTATCATTCCGGCGAGTGATATGATTCACATCACCCAAAGTCTTCCACCCTTCCCATTTCTCGGAGGGCATTAATAATATCAGCAAGATCCATAGGCTGACTGTCGATAGTGATAGCGGATCCAGCCAGCCTTTTAGCGCTTTGATTTTAATTAACGCCTGCGTATTACGGCACGAAAATAAAGGTGACTCCACGCACAGTGGACTTCTGTAATGATTCAAGCCATTGCCTTGGCACCGAACCTGCCTGAAACCTCCGGATCATACTCATTGGATCACTTCTTTTTCTTCTTCTGCGTTCGACATCAGTCATGCTAAACACTGAGTCCCGTCTGGGTCAAAAATAGGATTGTGCGTTTAAGGTCGCCACCGGTCCCCCATTGCTTCTCTCGCAATGTGGATCACCTGGGCCAGATCCACAGTCTTTGCTGGGAGAGGTAAGGGCAGTACTGTAGTATGTGCTCAGGGATATTTCTTTCTTCTCCACAATCACAGGCAGCAGATTCTTTTATGCCTATCCTGTACAGGTGTGCTCAAAGACCACAGTGTCCTGTCCGAAATCTAAAAATTAATGTTTGTTCTTTCCTGTTGAGTTTGTTTATGCTGTCACTCTCTGGTCTGTAATCTCCATTCTGCCTTCTCCACTCCCGCTTGAAAGACTGCTTTAGTGCTATTTTGGTTTTCTTGTAGCTGTGTGGTGGATGAGGTTGTGGAAGATTACTCCCAGCTTTTGCCAACTCATCTGCTCTCTCATTTCCTTGAATACCACAGTGGGCTGGTATCCACTGCAAGACCAGTTCTGCTTCCTTGGAGAGTAAGCCAATGTTAGTCCTTAGATCTGCAATTAGTTTGTCTTGTTTTTTGCTTGAAAGTGCTTAGAGAACAGACAATGAGTCACTAAGTATAAAAATTGTATGCCCTCTGTGTTCTTGAGTGATGAGATGTTGGACTGCAGAAAGGAGGGCAGTTTCCTCAGTTCTGAAGTTAGTGCAGATGTCACCTGTGGTAGAGAGAGAGTTTCTGCTCTACTGCTAGGGGGTTTAATGTATATTCCACAACCCCCCTTTCTGACTGCATCTATAGCAGAGCCGTAGGTGAAAACCTGAGTACAAGTGGTGTTTGGATATTGGATACTGTGGATATTGTGTTTGAATATACATGAGCAGGTGTCGTTTTGTGTTTCGAGCTATGCGAACGCTTGCGTTGCTGCAATCACCTCTATATAGGAAATATCATAATTTTTTTTTAAATAATATGAAATGTACAAATACTTTCAAAAAGAGAACGTCCATACTTGAAAATGCTCTGGGTAAGGTGAAGTTGGTTCTCAGCTGTGGCTCAACCTCCCCCCGCCCCCCCCCCCAGCCCCCAGCCTCCCCCCCCCCCCCCCCAACCATAATTTGGGTGTTGGGATTCAATGTCCTGAGCTCAGAGGTTCGCGAGCTGAGCTCTAAGGTTGGCGCGCTGAGCTCACAGGTTCGTGAGCTGAGCTCCCAGGTTCGCGAGCTCAGCTCCCAGGTTCGCGAGCTCAGCTCCCAGGTTCGCGAACTGAGCTTCCAGGTTCGCAAGCCTCCCATCATTCCAGGACATTCTTTTTATTTGAAGTTTGAAAACGAATGTCTACAAACAAAATTTTTTTTTTATTTGGTCAGTTTTAATAGGTTTGTTTCAAAGCACAACAGCAATAACATTTTAGTTTACCAAGTCTTGGAAAAGGAGTAAGAAACAGCCATCATCCTCATTTTGTACTGGGTGTGCATGAGTGCGTGGGTGTGTGTGTGTGTGTGCGTGCGCGCGCGCGCGTGTGTGGTGTGATTCCAATCATTCTTTAACCTGAGTATGATAACCTATATGTAGATATAGGGTTTTATGTATATGTGGCTGTATAGATATATGATTGTGCGGATATGAACTTGTGTAGACGTGTGGTTTTTTAAAAGTCTATTTACTATTTAGATACGTGGTTGTGTTAATATATGCAGGTAGATACATGTTTAGGCTTAGAGATGTGGTTGCTTAGGCGCCTAATTGTGATGGCGTGTGGTTGTTTCGACAAAGGTTCATGTAATGTTTTTCTTGCTAAACGTGCTTTTTATCACAGTTAGTTAGTTGCTTATCCTTTACAGGACGTTGTAGAACCAACCATTTTTGGCTGTTGTGATTTTTCTAGACAAATTTTACGTTGAGTAGTTTGGCATTGGCTGAACGGTCAGCACTCGGTACCGTTGTCGAAACCAACGCAAGACCAACCGTCTGCAGCAGGGATACCACAGGACATTCCGACGACCCCAAAGCCACAGATGCCGACAGTTTTTTTCACAGTACTCAATTGTGAATTGATATTTTCTCCGAACAAGCAGCACCCTTAGGAAATCAAAAGAGCTTTTGATGCCAAACGCCAAGTATCCTTTTCTTCTTCGTCTTCTTCAGCATGGAGAGCCCTTGAGGTTCACTGATGCAGATATTCCCCGCCTCCTTTCATCTATGTGACGCCTTTTGTTTCCAGTTGTTGACTCCAAGTGTATAAAGGCCTGCAAGGGAAGGATCCCTCTACCGTCTTCCTGAGCTGCCTAGTAGTCTATCTCTATTGAACTCCCTTGTGCACAAGGTGTTTGCCTCCATGCCATCAGCATTCTCCCAGTATGCACCAGCTATTTCAGTTTATCTGCTCTCAATGATTCCGATGAACAGATTATGAATTTTGTTGTTGCTTCTCACTCTCCATTCCTCGCTGTTTGCATCTTTGATGGGTCCGAAGGTTCGTTTAAAAAATGTGTAATAAAAATGTGTAATAAGCTTCACACATGTTTAGCTATTTTCTAGGTTTCGGAGTCATATAAGTCAGTCAGTGTTATCAACGTTTTGTATACTGTGATACTGGTGTTACGAGACAAAAACTTTTCCTCTTAAAATAAAATTAATTACCTTTTATATATGCAGGTGTCTGCCTATATAAGATTGTATTACCAAACACACACTTACACTAGCACGGACACACACACACACACAAACACACTGAAACAAATCACATCCCAAACATGCTCCTGATGGCTCCAGATAATTTCTCATAAATTCTTCTGATTAATGTTGGTTGTAGGATTTCCTCTTGTGTTTTCACCATATTTATGTACTCCTGCTCTGCTCTCTCGTTAGACTGTTGTATCTGCTCCACCACTGCTGCATATAAAGAGTCGATATCTTCAGGTTGGCTCTGCTGTTTCGCATATTTACTGTGTACTTGCTGCTGTCGCTGTGGATAAGGATTTTGAGCTCGTATCTCAATTGCTGCTTTAATGGACTTAATTTGCTCATCGATCTCCAGACTTATGTTTCGGGCGTTGTTAATGACTTCCTGTAGGACACCAGTCCCTTGGTCCTGAGCGATGATACCCTTAACCAGGTTTTCAGCTCTACGTTTCACAATCCTCAGTCTGTCAAGTTGTCGTTCCGGCTCATCCAGCTGGATTTGTCCAAGCTGCTGGATTATCAGGCTGGCTTCCATGACGCTTTCTTCACGGATTACCGGAAGCTTTGCCTCAACCAACACCCGATCACGTTCCGCCCTTGCCATCTGAAAGTGCTCATCGCTATATCGATCTCCATTTTGGCTCATGTTATCAATCATTGTCAACAGAAGCCGGCGCTGATCGTTCTGTTTAATCTCATCTTTGGTTCTGTTATCAAACTTGATTATTCTGTTCTTGCATTCGTTATGCAGATTTTTGAAAACACCTCTATGTTTCATGCACCACTCTTCAAATGTTTTCACATTATTCTCTTTAAGGTCAAAAGTGTCGCCATGAGTCATAACAATAATAGTGAACTTCTCTACAAATTCGGACCCAAAAATCCCTTTAAGTTGTTGCACCGCCTTGTAATCCTCATTGGTGAATCTCCCAATGGGTACAATCAGCAGAATGGCGTGGTATCCTCTCGGATTTGCGGCTACGGCGTGCTGTACTGCATTTATCACTAGTTCAAGAGCCTGGGTGGAGCCTAGGTCGGTGTCATAAATTCCAGGAACATCCACCACTTTCACGATGCGGTCGCCGAGGTCTGAGTATCCCGTCTGCGCCCTTTTGGTCACAGATGTAGGACTAGCTCTAGTTACAAATGCTTGTCTTCCAAGAATACTGTTTCCGGTGGAGCTTTTTCCGTTTCCTGTTTTTCCAATCAGGAGAATGTCTGTGCATTCTCTTTGTTCATTAAAACCTGTGTATTTTGCCGAACCGTCCATGTTGACCTGAGAAAAACAAAACAGATCGGGGTGGGGAGGGGGGATGTTGAATAGCATAAATGAATATGGTGTTTGTTCTGTTAATTATTTTTTTTGTTAAAAAATATATTTATCACTGGCAAATGTTATGCAAACAAAAACAAAAACAAAAAGAGGGACGGGGGGGGGGGGGAGGGGGGGGGGAGGCAGAAAGAAAAAAAAGGTGCAGATGACTTGGACAGGTTACAGATGAGCAAAATAGGGAGATAGATAGATAGATAGATAGATAGATAGATAGATAGATAGATAGATAGATAGATAGATAGATAGATAGATAGATAGATAGATAGATAGATAGATAGATAGATAGATAGATAGATAGATAGATAGATAGATAGATAGATAGATAGATAGATAGATAGATAGATAGATAGATAGATAGATAGATAGATAGATAGATAGATAGATAGATAGATAGATAGATAGATAGATAGATAGATAGATAGATAGATAGATAGATAGATAGATAGATAGATAGATAGATAGATAGATAGATAGATAGATAGATAGATAGATAGAGAGAGAGAGAGAGAGAGAGAGAGTGATAAACTTCAGTCAATTTTACCCCCACCACACCCCGCCCCCTTTTCCACAATCTTCCTCAAAAAGCCTGCCATAAACGTCAACTAATTATGGGTGTTTCCGTCGGCAAGGCAGGTGAGGAATCAACAGTCTCTGCTGACAAAGAGCATAGCAAGACTAGAGGGATAAGGCTAGATTTCATACATGATATTTACTGTAATGCAAGGAAACAGCGGTATAAACGACTCAATTTGCAATAAAGTCACCTTCAACAGTTAACATTTATCTTTTGTCCGATAACATCCGGTAATACGTGCAGCAGGAGAAACCAACCCTGAGCCTCATGAACTCAGGTGGGCCCACTCTCTGAAAATGTCTAGCAACTCGTGGGCCGAAACATTTTTCGACGAGAGATTACTTCTACTAATGATTGGTAGACTCCTGCTGTACACGCTCCCCTGTGGAGTTTCTTTTTATTTTGATTCGAAACCATATTTTTTACGCACCTAGTGATTTATGTTAGGAGTTGAAGCGTAGGGCCGGTATCTCAGGATTTTGTAAACTTTATTATTTTTTCTAATCAGACCAATATCTAAGTATTGAAATCTGATATATTTTAAGGGACAACGGCAATGAATCTTTTAAAAATAATGTCTTACCTTTTGAGAATCTTTTCCACCACTGGAGTGTATAATAGACAGAATTTTACGAAATGCTCTAACTTTTTTACAGAGGCCCCTTTAGGCCTAACATCAAGCACTGTGTGAAGTCAAAGAATATAGACAAGGCTGTTTTAAAGATTGCCCAACAAGCTCATTCTAATGCTGGCGTGGTTTCCTATTTTAGAACATTCAGGATGTTCTATTCATACAGGTTTGATGGTTTTTGTACACGCTTGTAAATAGGTGCAACGTACTGTAACTATATTTCCAGGGGCGGATACAGACTGGAGGAATGTCTCCTGAATGTCACAACTACCGCCAAGTTGGAGGGGAAGAGAAGCAGGAGAAGACCAAGAGAGAAGATGGCCAGTTGGCAATCATAGAACGGAACAGAATACGTATCAGGCATGATTAACAGTGGAGGAGACAGAAGACTGTGGAGAAGGTTGGATTGCCTGTCAGTAGGGATAGATCTTAAGTTAACACATAAGACATTTCCGTTATTTTCTCTCATTCACAAATAGATGAAAGAGCCGCTGTGGTGTAGCGGATAGACACTCGCCTGTACTTTAGAAGATCCTGGGTTCAGGTCCTGACAGAGCCCATCTTGGCTCCCTTGTCGACCAGGCCTTTAATTGATTTCAGGTAAAGTCCTGGGAAGTAAAGGCGGTCGGCATGATGCTGACCACATCACCCACCAAGTACTGATTTATCTAAAAATATAGGCTGAGCCCTATATGCCCAATATGCCTAAAGGTGTGGATAAAGTAAGGTAATATACTTTTTTAAAAAGAGATCTAGAAGATCGACATCACTAGGTCGGTTTTCTTTTTTTTTTTTTTACATAATACTTGATGTCTCTCAACTCAACGACTAGCCGCCAGAATGACCAGGGTTGCCATAATGGCTTTTTTGACGCCAGATTCAACAAATTTGAGAAGAAGAAGAAGAAGAAGAAGAAGAAGAAGAAGAAGAAGAAGAAGAAGAAGAAGAAGAAGAAGAAGAAGAAGAAGAAGAAGAAGAACAAGAACAAGAACAAGAACAAGAAGAACAAGAACAAGAAGAACAAGAACAACAAGAAGAGGAAGAAAAGGAAGAAGAGGAAAAAAAGGAAGAAGAAACAGAAGCCGAAGAAGAAGAAAAATCAACAGCAATGATAACAGTAACAACAGCAACAACAGTAGTAACAACAACAACACACCGAACAATTTCCTATGTCACCCACCGAAGAAGAATTTGACAGACACGCCAGTGCGTCGCGAAAATTACACATTCCAAAGCATAAACTGGTCGAGAATATCCGACGTGTTTCTGGGGCATCTTTGTAATAATCGGAGTTTCCCAGAAAATGTCATATAGCTTCTGCTTAGAAATTTGTTTTCTTGGAATGTGGCAACTGCAGAGGCTTTTGAATAAAGTTACTTCTTCTTCTTCTTCTTCCTCTTCTTCTTCTTCTTCTTCTTCTTCTTCTTCTTCTTCTTCTTCTTCTTCTTCTTCTTCTTCTTCTTCTTCTTCTTCTTCTTCTTCTTCTTCTTCTTCTTCTTCTTCTTCTTCTTCTTCTTCTTCTTCTTCTTCTTCTATCTCCTTCCCTCAGTCCATCTCTGTTTCTCAACTAAGTTTCTAGCCCGTCCTTTTTGTGTGTATCCGTCAGTCTGGCTTCATGTCTCCCTATCTGTCTCGATTTGTCTTGCCTGACCCTGTGCCTCTGTCTCGTTTGGTCTGTCCTTACACACACCTTCCCCGTTCTATGTTTGTATCTGCCTCTATCCCATATTTTCTAATCTCGGCCTATTTTGACTTAACAACCATTGTATGTTTTACATAATGTTTGTCCTACATATTAAACTGCATGAGTGCGTCGTCCATTGCTCGCACTAACGGGATAAATGACCTCAATTAACTTCCCAATTTTATATTTCGCTGCGCTCATGTTATGAAAAGTTGTGTGATCCGGTCTCACTCTCTATCTCTCTCTCTCTCTCTCTCTCTCTCTTTTTCTCTCACACACACACACACACACTATCTATCTATCTATCTATCTATCTATCTATCTATCTATCTATCTATCTATCTATCTATCTATCTATCTATCTATCTATCTATCTATCTATCTATCTATCTATCTATCTATCTATCTATCTATCTATCTATCTATCTATCTATCTATCTATCTATCTATCTATCTATCTATCTATCTATCTATCTATCTATCTATCTATCTATCTATCTATCTATCTATCTATCTATCTATCTATCTATCTATCTATCTATCTATCTATCTGTCTGTCTGTCTGTCTGTCTGTCTGTCTGTCTGTCTGTCTGTCTGTCTGTCTGTCTGTCTGTCTGTCTGTCTGTCTGTCTGTCTGTCTGTCTGTCTGTCTGTCTGTCTGTCTGTCTGTCTGTCTGTCTGTCTGTCTGTCTGTCTGTCTGTCTGTCTGTCTGTCTGTCTGTCTGTCTGTCTGTCTGTCTGTCTGTCTGTCTGTCTGTCTGTCTGTCTGTCTGTCTGTCTGTCTGTCTGTCTGTCTGTCTGTCTGTCTGTCTTTTATTCTCCTCGCGTTTCTCTCCAATCTTCAGCCTTCTCTCGTCTCGCCTATCTCTTCCTCCTTCCCCTTGACCTCTCCCTATGTGTTTCCACCACTACCATCTCTGCTCCCCTCCTATCTCCACTTTTCATCATTTTGTCTCTTTCTTTGCTTTCACTAACTTTTCATCGATTTTCTCCATATCTTTCATTTCACCTCTAAGTCTCTCCGGCCTTCCCTCATTTACTCCATCTTCTCTAACCGGTCTTCTCTCTCTGTTCCTCCCATCTTCTTCTCTCTAACATTCCCTCTATCCCCTCTCCAGTTCTCTCTCCAGCTCCCTCACTCACGCTTAGAAATTTTTGTTGTAAAAAAAGGATGGGGTGGGGAGGGGAGGGGGAAAAAGGGGGTGTTGTAATTTCATGAATTACATTTCTTTTGCTAGCTAGAAATTGCCGTGGAACCCCATGTTTTCCTCATTAACCCCATGTCCTCCTCATTAACCTCATGTCCTCCTCATTAACCCCATGTCCTCCTCATTAACCCCATGTCCTCCTCATTAACCCCATGTCCTCCTCATTAACCCCATGTCCTCCTCATTAACCCCATGTCCTCCTCATTAACCCCATGTCCTCCTCATTAACCCCATGTCCTCCTCATTAACCCCATGTCCTCCTCATTAACCCCATGTCCTCCTCATTAACCCCATGTCCTCCTCATTAACCCCATGTCCTCCTCATTAACCCCATGTCCTCCTCATTAACCCCATGTCCTCCTCATTAACCCCATGTCCTCCTCATTAACCCCATGTCCTCCTCATTAACCCCATGTCCTCCTCATTAATCTCATCTCATTCTCTGATTCTCACTGTTTTGGTTCTGGGGCCCAATTATAGGGAAAACAAGAATAGACCCACTGCCTAACCAAAAGCATGCTTCTGCCTGAGAGGCAAGGAACCAGCAATCTGCATTCCAATGAGTCAGATCTGTAAAACGAAACATCAGATTCTGCAACAGGACTGCAGTCCAGAAGTGGATAAACAATCAGAATGTTCTGCCAGAGTTTACAGCTGGTGAACGCGAAGAAGATTCTCAGATTCTCTTCTCTGTGTTTATTTTTTTTTTTTTTTTTTTTTTGTCGTTCCTTTATTCCTTCGACCTCCATGGGTTCCAGTGCATGGACATGATAGGTATATTAGCATCCTATTTTCTAGGGAAGGATCACACAAAGTAAGAACTCTGTAGCTGCAGCATATTTACTTGTCTACCCTCAAAACGTCTATCTGCCCTCGGGAAGGATCACACAATGTAAGAACTCTGAAGCTCCAGCGTCGAAACGAAGGCACGGCTTTCATAGCTTGAAGAAAACGGCTTCCTCACTGAGCCACTGAAGCCCAAATAAAATCTAAATGTTAAATACCACAAATACAAAACAGTACATATCTTCCCAAGAAACAAAGAAGCACATAAACAAACAAAACAAAAACAATTTGTTTACCATAATTCAATAATAATTATGTTTTTTTTTTTTTGGTACTTAGATATTTACAAGTAAATTCCTATCAGTAGTAAACTAAATAATTATAACATATGAAAATGCATAGTTATTAATGTAAAAGGTTACAAATGTGCTTATTTTTTTAGATGATTGTGAAAATGATGATGACGATAATGATGGTGATGCAACACAAATAAAGAAATGTTTATCATTGATAACGATATTTGACAGTGTACATCTGGTGTACAATTATTAAAATAATTTAAAATATTAAATAAATAAGTAAATGAGATACAAATAACATCAGAGAAACAATAAAAGTACATACATTGCCTAAACATTGTTCAGATCGTCGAACTAATGCCAACATGCCAATACCATCTTTCTTGCACTTCCTGCATCACACGTGAGTTTGGACCCTTCTGATGAGTTATAGGAGTTTCTCCGGGAAGAAACTCAACGTACATACAGATATCTGATTTCATGTTTTCTAGTTTGCAATTGTAATATTTTTTGTGCTCTATGCTTAGGAAGGCTTTCTGTCCGCAGAGTTCACCTGTTGTTCCTGGGATTCTGTGAAGATGACTAGTTCTTCTTCTAGTTTCGACTGACGTCTGTTCGTAACCTTTAAACTATTACCCTGATAGTCTTGGTTTTCTATGCCCCAATGACATAAGCTGATTAGAGTTCAGCTGATTAAAGAACTAATATTAGAGTTCTTAGGCATTCCTTTAAACGGTCTGTCCCCATCTTCAGCAGCAAGTCAATGGTGCTAGTAGCATTTTGAATGTACGTCCGTTTAGTCTTTCCTCTGAGCGTCCAGCATTGGCCAGAACCCCTCGTTACTCCCGGCTGCATCATTCTCAGCAGACGGTGGTGATCCAATTGCTCCTACGAATTGTTGTTCACGCTTCCCACAAGGCCCTAACCACGTCTGCCTTATCATGCATCAGTATTCCTCCACGTTTGTTTGGAGCCAGGCAGTGTGTCTGCCTATTTATTTCTCAACACACCGGAGTACCCCAGCGGAGAAGAGATCCAGACAATACTCCTCACCCTGGACCTCCGCAGCAAAGCATGCCCCAGTGACAGGGGAAAGACCGTTAAAACATGTCTCTGGACAAGATAATGAACCACCATCATCACCATGCATTATTGTTTATGCTTTATTGTCAGTATACGTCACAGTCCTCGTCTGTGTCTTAGGCGTTGCGAACGAGCTTCGTAATGCCGGGGTGCCGTCGATCTCAGCTGCAGATGGTTTGTCTTGTGCTGTTTTCGACAGTGGTACTGAGAGCTGACCGTACAGTAAGCAATGGCAAACTAATGAACATTAAATTTGCCTAGAAAAACCACAGGAGCCAAAATATGCTGGGGTTGGTTCTGCAGTGTCCTGAAAAGGATACGCAACTAACTAAATGTCACATTAAAAAAAAAAATTTAGTAGCGTGTTTTTTACAAGACGTTTCAGAACCAACCCCACCATTTTTTGGCGGTTTATTATTTCACTAGACAATTTTAAGTTCCGTAGTTTGCATATAAACTGTCAGTTCTCCATCCCACTGCTAAATCGAGCGCAAAGACGTCTGCTGCCAAATCGTCCGCAGCTGAGATATATGTTTTGTGTAATTCCTGGCTGTTATAGATTCATGGATTTGTCACATACAAATTATGACTATTTATAACGGGATAGTAATCTTTTTAGCATAAGAGGGTCCCAGTTATGTTAAACAGGAAGTTATGGTTTTGTCCTAAGAGAACCACGAATATATTACAACACAAGAGAATTCTTACGTCTTTGCCATTGGAGAAATATGGCTATATTGTAGAAGATTCTTAGCTGTTCTGTGAGATGTATAGCTTTGTTATAGAGAAACAAAACTTGTTATTGGAGAATCATTGCTTGTTATAGGAGATTGCTAGCTATTATATAATATGTATAGCTGGTAAGGAGATTTACAGCTTTGCTACAGACGAATCATCGCTTTGTTTTAACATGGGAGATTTATTGCGTTGCCTTTTGGGAATCGGGTCTGTGTTAAAGAAGATGTCTGGCTGTTGGAGAATAACGGCTGGGGAAAGACATAAAAAGGGTGGGTGTTGGTTCTCATCATGGTGGTTACAACAAACGAGATAATGGCTTTGTCACAAGAGATTTCTTCTGATGCAGGTGGGAAAATCATGCCTGCTATAGGAAAGTTGTGGCTTTGTCAGCTTAAGATTAATAGATGCTATAGATTGGTGGCTTTGTCGAAAGAGAATCGTGGCTTTTCGCAGGGATATTGGCTGTTACAGATGTGTGACTCTCATATAAAAATCAGTGCTGTGTATTATTTGTGATCTCTAAATGTTCTGTAAGTTTTATAGATGTGTCATATAAGAATGTGACTTATCAGAGAAGCCGGTTATAGCATTGGAGATTTATTAGTTTGATCGCAGGAGAATCACTGTTGTGTTATAAAATAGGACACATGGTTTTCTAAGGGAAGAATCATTGCTAAATTATAACATAGGAGATTCATGGTTTTGTCAAAGGCGGGTCACGGCAATTTTTTAACAGTTCCCTGATTCTTACACAAAAAGTAAAGCAATTTTATAGAAGAATCGTGGCGGTTTTGTAACATTGGTAATTTACGGCTGTCATATTAGAAAGGAGATTTATGGCACTTTTAAAGGAGAATCCTAACGTATTATAACATCAGAGATTTACCTCCTTATATTAGAAGAAACATGGCAAATTTACAGTAAATTTACGATCTTTATAGAAAATTCGTCAATGTTTCATAGGACGGATTTCTGTCAAGGAACGGGGTTTGTGGGACATTGCTTCTTGCTTCCTTGAAGGCAGTTCATCTGGTGAACCCTGTCGATAAGCGTGTCCAAAGGGTTGGATGGCGTCGTCAGCACTAAGTGGGAGATGAGGTCCTGTGAAGTGTCACCAGAAAACTGTCATTATTACAGGTTCAACACAGAAATTTAAGACTGGGTACTCAGAACGTTGCCCGTGTGAACAATAAACGTAGAGTAATGAAAATCTTCTTTAGACATACTATTTACTTTCAGTAGGAAGACCATATGTCTGGCCAGTTAGCATTCGGGTGGAAACTAAGCTGTATAGAGCAGTGGAGGACATACGTCGCACCTCAACCTTTATAAAGGCCTGTGGCCTTCTCATCTGAGCAACACTGCCACACCGAACAAAACGAAGGATGTCTCCGTAACCAAGTGGTCAAGAAGTTTGCAAAGCGTTCTAAAGGCAGTGGGTTCATTCCATGGACGCGTCGTTCTATTCACGTTTACATGTATATTTGTATTCTTTCTATAACATGCAATTGTGGAATCATCCATTGAACTTCAGAGTTCGTGCTTTGTGCAACGCTCTCTCTAGGTGAATAGTCGTGTTGAGGGGAGACACTGAGCTATATGGGTTAACCTGCTTCAATGAAGTCAATCCTTTTATCATGTAACTTTACGAAAAAGAAAACTTAACAACTGACAAAAAAAAAATGGCCTTCATGGTTAACCCTGCTTTTGCCAGTAATATAGTGGAACGTTGAGGTTTCGATCCACCGTGGGATGGCAAGGGGGGGGGGGGGTAGGCTGGATGTGACGAAGGAAAAGGTAAAAGGCAAAATCCCGTTCTGTCTGTCATATGGTAAGCTGAGTGGGTGGGTTGCGACACTGTGAGCTGTAAGCTTCATAGGCAATGCTGATAACTGTCGGTGTTCTCAGAGATTAGCGTTGTTAACAGCTTATTAAGAAAATGGCGTCTGGCTGGTTGCCACAGAACTGGCGGTGTGCCTTGTGCAGTAATGAGTGTGCACATGCTTATTTGTCATGACTTTTGCTTCCATCAACTATGAGTAGCAATGCTCTCTCTCTCTCTCTCTCTCTCTCTCTCTCTCTCTCTCTCTCTCTCTCTCGCTCGCTCTTATCATACATCATCTCTCTCTCTCTCTCTCTCTCTCTTTATTTTTTTCCTCTTCCTTGTTTCTTCTCACACACATACGCTGTACTTATCTGCTCCTTCCAACTCTCTCTTTCGCGATACATCTTCTCTTTCTATTCTGTTTTCTCTTCTCTGTTCTCTCTCTCTCTCTCTTTCTCCCTCTCTCACCATTCTTCCTCGCCTCTCTACCCTTCTCTTTCTTTCTTTCGAAACCTTCTCTAGAAATCAATAATTGTTGCACCTACCGCAAACAGTTCAAATATTTCGTGCTTGCACAAATAGTTCAGCGCACTCTCTTTTGGATTACGATCCACTGTATACGGGGGCGGCCCTGGGTGCCGGGATCTTATTGTAGGCAATACTAGTGCTGCTGGAGAAGGTGCTGGTAGAGCTTCACGTTTATCTAAGTCTTGCTGAAGTTCCGACACCATCCCCAGGTCTTTTGGTGACTGTAGTTTCAAATCATAGCCAAGGTGTGCCTCAACGTCTTCGGGATTTGGACCACCTGTTGCCTGAAGGAAATTACATTAAATTAATAGAAGACACTCTCGGTGAGGTTGATGTGTTCCCATCGTTGAGAAAAGAAAAAAAAGAGTCACTGCATCCCCAACAAGCATGTCGTATGAATCGACTAACTGGGCGGCTTCCTTTGAAGTCTGAGTGCATTTCTTCGAGCAGCAGGAAACAATCAGCTGCACACAAATAGGCCATTAAAATGTATGTACACGAAAGCTCAGGCATTAGGAAAAAGCCAGAGTCCCAAGGGTCGAGCAACCAGGACTTTCCTTCGGAGCTTACACCCGATGAGCAAAGAAGAAGAAGAAGGAGAGAAGAGGCTCTTGACTCTTGACGATAAAGGGTTGGGTTCAGATTAATAACAGGATGGATTTTTGTCTAAAATTTAGCCTTGGCTCCCAAACCTTCTTCTTCTTCTTTCGTTCGCCTGAAATAAGTTATCTATATCAGCAATTTTGTCTCTTGTATAAATTTCACTGTCGTTGTTAGTTCATTCAGTGGTCCATAGAGTTTACGTTCCACTGTTGTTCTTTCTGGCCAAGAGGTTTGCCTTAATGTGTCAAAATCGGTGCAGTCCTGGAGTACATGCTCTGCGGTCTGGGGCACATTTCCACAGGTGCACATGGCTGAAACACCTATCTTGAATTTTGTGTACATGTAAGTAATATTGAAGAGGGAAAATGCGAACGGCGTTATATTGACCACATAACCCTTTAAGTCCCGACTGATGTATTAAATATGTTTAGCCTCATGTGTCCGATACGCCACTTGGGTAGCAATGGTCCTTTATTTACTTCATTGTCGATGCATTTACTAGGGTCTTTAAAGCGTCGAATATGGAGAACTCAAGATGGGCAAACGATTAATTCTATATTCTCCACAGGACTTGGCAGATCAGCTCCAATATTTGTGTACTTTTCTGTGATTCTGGTAGGCACTTTTACTCGCAGTAGTTTGAATCTGCTTACTGAACTGTATGTACTAGGCCCATAACGTTGTCTGTATCACCGCAATGTCGTTTGCTGGAGAAAAGTTTGTAACTGACTTTGAACCCTGTATTTTGAGATTGTGAAACTGCGTTTACAACCACTAAGACACAGACGACAAGCAGGATGGACACAGGAATGAGTGTCGTACAGTGTGTGTGTGTATATATATATATATCTATATATATATATACACAAGTGTGTGGTGTGTGTATATACATGTGTAGTGTGTGTATATACATGTGTGTGGTGTGTATACTCATGCGTGGGTTGTGTGTATATATACATGTGTCTGGTGTGTGTATATACATCTGTGTGGTATGTGTACATATAGGGACTGATATAGCAGTTGGTAAGACGGCTCCTTGAGTTCCCCCCCCCCCCGCCCCCTCACCGCCCTCCTAAAAAAAATGGGTGAGGAGATGTGAGGGGAACAGATCGAGGCTACATGACAGTTTCAGGGAACTGCAGGAAAAATTCAGAAATTTGCAAGCAGGCCAATCGCTCCTTCCCCAGCCATGTATAGACGAACTCTTTAAAGTATTTGTTTTAAGCATTTCAGGTTATTTCAAATTTACTGTTATATTTACTTGTCATTCGGCATAAACAAAAAAAAAAAATATGATTATAACGGAGGTCACATAGAATGTTCGCTGGAGTTATGGATGTCGTGCGTTGTGCACCACCTTAGCAGGTGACTTCTCGTTTTGTGAAATAACCATCTTGACTTCAAACATGTTCTGATTCAACTTCTTTCTTTCTTTCTTCTTTCTTTCTTTCTTTCTTTCTTTCTTTCATTCTTTCTTTCTTTCTTTCTTTCTTTCTTTCTTTCTTTCTTTCTTTCTTTCTTTCTTTCTTCTTTCTTTTCTTTTTTTTCTCTTTCTTTCTTTTTCTTTTTCTTTTTCTTCTGCTTCTTCTTTTCTTCTTCTTCTTCTTCTTCTTCTTCTTCTTCTTCTTCTTCTTCTTCTTCTTCTTCTTCTTCTTCTTCTTCTTCTTCTTCTTCTTCTTCTTCTTCTTCTTCTTCTTCTTCTTCTTCTTCTTCTTCTTCTTCTTCTTCTTCTTCTTCTTCTTCTTGATTTTCGTCTTCTTCTACTTTTTTCTTTTTACTTCTTCCTCCTCTTCACTTCATGTGCCATGTCTGCAGCAGATATTGATGATCACTGCTCCAACTGTAAAGATTGATGGAGACGGGGCACGGAGACAGCAAAGAGATAAATACCCAGATGGCTTGACCATATGGATGATGTGAGACAAGAATAAAGATTTGATACTTTGAAATGCAACCACCAGGGGCATATAAATGAAAAGGTTGGTTGCGTATCCTTTACAGGACGTTGCAGAACCAGCCCCAACAACCCCTGGATGTTGTAGGGTTTTTCCAGGCAAATTTACGTCCAGTAGTTTGCCATTGCTTTCTGGGCGGTCGGTTTTCTTGATACCATGTCGAAACCAACGCAAGAGGCATGGCCCGCAGCTGGGATCGAACCAGGCATCCCGGCATTACGAAGCGTTCGCATCGACTTAGCCACGGAGCCGACCATAGAAATAAAGGCAGTCCAAAACCCAGATGGGTAAATGAGCAAGAGAGTTAAGTTAAAAAATATGGGATGATGTGGGAAGAGCTGCATGCGATAGCGAAGGATAGAACGACTTAAGGCGTGAGTTGGTTGAAGTCCTATGCTCCACTGGGGTGTTATAAAGGTTCCCCCCCCCCCCACTTACCCCCCAAAAAATGCCACCCTTTTATGTTTTAGATATTTCCCCCAATAGATTCAGTTATTCTTTTGTCTATCTTTGACACCATATGTTCTTTTTGTGCGTTCGCCTTTTAAAAAATAATTAGCACCTTGCGGTGCGGTTTACAGCTAAACTGTTATATATGCTTCTTTCGGCCCAAGACAACTGATTTCAGCCATTTGTAATGTGTTGCCTTTTACGACATGCTTAATTTATTAGCAGTGGGTGTATTCCTTTTCCTCCCAGAATGGGACCCCAGAACCCACAGGGGTAAACATTGTAATAATATGTTCCATACATGTTACTAACGACAAGGAAGACGCTTACAGTCGGAGATCCAGACATTTTGTCCTCGGTACTTTCCCCTCTTGGATCTGGTACAGGTGGTTTCTTGACACTTTTACTTTGAGACTTTCGGGATCTCTGGGAATCAAAGGCGACAACTTTGTTCATTCTTATTTGAATTCATAGATTATTGATAAGAATCATTTAACTAATTCTACATTGTTGTTGTTGTTTGTTTGTTTGTTTGTTTGTTTGTTTGTTTGTTTGTTTGTTGTTCTCAATCATCATCTTCTTATCATCATCATCATCATCATTTTCTTGTTCTTCTTCGTCTTCTTCTTCTTCTTCTTCTTCTTCTTCTTCTTCTTCTTCTTCTTCTTCTTCTTCTTCTTCTTCTTCTTCTTCTTCTTCTTCTTCTTCTTCTTCTTCTTCTTCTTCTTTTTCTTCTTCTTTTTCTTCTTCTTCCAAATCATCATCATCATTATCATCGTCGCCATCATCATTTCCTCCTTCCTCTACCGCATCGTCATCATCATCATCACAGTCATCACCACTTCTACCATCATCATCAACATCATCATTATTTTCTTCTTCTTTTACTTCTTTTTTGTTCTTATTTCTTAGGCTCCTTCTCATTCATTGTCATTATGGCTGCTTATTACTATAATCATCTTTATAATATACTAACACTATCGTCATAATAATTATCATTATCATCACCATCAACACAACCATCATAATCAGCACTACCATTAGCATCATTAATACCAGCTTCATCATCATCATCAATATTTTCGTCTTTATTATCATCATCACTATCATCATCATCATCATCATTTTCGTCATAATAGTTATTATCTTTTTCTTCTTCTCCTTCCTTTTTTTATCCTCTTTATCATCTGTATCTTCTTCCTCCTTCCTTCCTGTCACTCCTTCAAGTAGCCCACGGCATCTCTTGTCTGTAACTAATGACCACACAACAGGCACACTCACACTTTTGAACATCGACTGTTTCCTGGCTCTGCTGGCTCGATCTAAGCCTGGCTCGGAACCCGGACTACCATCTCGTACGTGTTGCTGAATGTTCTGGAGGATATAGGGTTACAACTATATTTGAGAATGAGTTGCACGTAGCTATTCAATAACCTGTAGTAGCTTTTACAAACCTCAGGTTGTTGAACAGCTTCGTTCAACTCATTCTCAAGCTAACTGGTCTAACTGGGCAACTGTCTTAATTTACTTAGTGTCCTTTCCGTGTGGCCGGGTGTAATTTGGGATGTGGGAACAATAAGGGAATGGGGGGGGGGATGTTAGGCATATGTTCTTTAATAAGCATGACGGATAAGACGACTACTTAACGGCTTTCTGAAATCTAATATGTGAAAACACAGTGCAAAGTGTTAACTGCCCTTTTGAGGCTGAGCGCAGTAGGAGGATTTGCAAAAGAAGATGAACAAGACGAATAAGACCAATGAGAACAAGGATGAGAGGAGGCGAAGGAAGAGAAGGAGAAGAACGAACAAACTGTATATTCAAAGAGTTCAGAGTTGGGCACTCAGGCCTGTCTTACATTCTACCCTTTTGGCCCCACTCCTTACACACAATAATGAAGTCACCTATCAGTTAGCATAAAAATAATACATATCTACATCTGATTCATAATCACAGTTCCGGGGATATGCTCTAATTATATCGCCATTCTAAATAGTAAAAATACTAAGTAAAGTAATTGTAATAGATCTGGGGGAGGTGGTTGGATGGGGAGGCATCTTACGTTTAATACTATTACTTTTTAGAGCAGCTGAAAAGAGGGGGGGGGGTGGGAGGGGGCATATAGTCAGTGCTAAGAAAGTAAAAATACATTCCGTTTGTGTGTAAAGGGGTTTTGATATTCTTTGATTGGCTGTGGAAGTTGCTTCCATAGATGAGCTGCGGAGTAGGTGAAGCTTGTTTTGTATAAGTAAATATTAGGTTTTATTATATGTATTATGTTTATGCGTTTACTGTGTCTTTCCTTATACCTAACCTATAATCAAATTTAATGTTGAGCCGTTTTGGATGCTATTTTGTGAATAAAGTTTGCTTATTGAAAACTAGGCGTTTATTGAGTTGTAGTAGCAGTAGACTCTCACACAGGTTGGCTGTGTCTCCTCCACAACTGTTGTTTATCAAACGTGCACCTCTTCTTTGAATTGCTTCAAGTCGTTTGATGACTGAATTGGAACATCCATCCCATATGGTGGAGCAACATTCTAGATGGGTCTGAATGTGAGAAGCTTAAAATACCTTTCTAGTGCAATCATCAAAAAAGTGATTAACTTTTTTTCTTAGCTGTTTGTTTCACAAGTGCTTGAACATGCAAACTGAAGATTAGATTTTTATCGATAATCAGGCCTAGTGCTTTGTGCTCAGTTACTCTTTCCACTGAGGTACTACCGTTGTTGAGTTGAAGGGACCCGTGCGAATTCTAAGAGGAGAAGGAGACTCTCGTCAAGGCACGTGTTTATAGTTAACACAGACTCCTAGACCGCTATGGGTTATAGATATGCATCATGAAATCCTGTGGTAATAAAAGCAGCAGTTATGCTGGATTTACGGAAGTCAGACTGATCACATAATTCATCGGCAATCTGTGATGACCCTGCTTTGCATGGTCGCCACTCTCACAGCAAGTCAAGCGGATAATTCGTGCAACATACGACCGCACGAGATACTTCGGGCTAAACGGTAATCGAGTGAAATTCCGAGGTGTACTTGTGGTCAGTTGTGTACCAGAGTTGGAAGATGACAGTCGTGATGTCGTCGATGTAGTTTGAATTAAGTGTAGTCAACGGTTAGTTAATTATTATTGTGGCATAGTTGTTGAAATAAACAGCGATGATTGTGGTTGAGTAATTGTGATGGAACAGAAGAAATAAACTGGCAGAATGTACACTGGAATTCGAGCCGTGTCCTCGGTTGTTGAAAGCTGTCTCTGATCCAGAATAAACGAGCTATATTAAAAGTGAGCCAGCTTTCTCACAACTGTTTAAAAAAAAAGATAGCAGAAGCACCGTCTACCTAATATGCCTCAAAGCGTGGAAATGCGGTCCTTAATGTGTATTCTTTACAATTTAGTAACGGCATGGATTGTACCGAGGTGAATTTGGAACCGACATTGCAGCTATCGTAAAACCGAGATGTGGGTTGGTACATTCATTACTAAAGTCGTATGATAAATTCTTTCATGCACAGGGAAGTGAAGCTGCTGCCGCAGCGGCGCCACCCCCTTTTTCTCTTCTTATTCCTCGTATTATTAATATTATTATTAATCTTGTTTCCTTTTTTTTTTATTATTATTATTATTCTTGTTTTTTCTATTATTATTATTATTATTATTACTATTATTTTTATGATCATTATTCTTATACTATCACTACTTCTTCTTCTTCAAGACACCCGGTTGGCACTCTCTGCTGTAGTTTACAAACAGTCAGCAGCACCTGCCACTGTCGGCCTAACACATCCGATTTCTCAAAAGCCCTAATTAGTCGCCTCTTTCGACATGCTTATTAATGATGATGAAACTGGAATCTATGAGCACTCAATCAGTAGGCGGCACACAAAATCGAACTCCGTATCTGCATTCTCGTTCTTTTCTTTTTTAAATCCAGAAATCATGAGATGTTAACCCTTTGGTCCGGTACTATGGATATCGCAACCCTTCGGCCTTGATTCCATGATAGGTTCCGTAAATCTAAGAGAAATGTGGCTTTTCTGCCTACACCTGGGCGTGAACCCGGACCACAAGAAGTTCCTCACCCGGTCGCTGCGAAGTCAGCTTTAACCAACTACGCTAGCGTCATCGATCTCCCTCGGGTATCAGTTAAAATTCTCATTAATATGGAAATTAACGGGCTTTAATACATGACTTTCGGCTTTGTAAAGTTAAACAAGTGACGTTCACCTGAAGCAGGGGTACAATGAGATCTGTCTCCCTAGGCAGACTGTTCAGCCAGTGAGGCGCTAGACCCGGTGCTAGATCCCAGCCAGAAAAGTTCTGAGAAAAATCAATTTTAATTCATATTTAAGAATATGCTTTTCGTAAACTATGGATTACAAATGCAATTTGTAACAAACTAACAAAAAAAAAGCAACCAAAAAAAAAGTTTTTTTCTTTATGCTTCTATTGCTTTTCGTGCTTACAATAACTAATGCATAAAGAGATTAAAATAATTTATCATGTGGTTTATTGGGTGTTCTCCTCCGCATCCCTACCGTGTCTTGTTTAAGTGTATTAAGCTAATAAAAGAATGAAAGAAAAAAAATTATAAGGAATTATTTTCGGACCGAATGTTTCTAGCTGGGCATTTTGATACAAATTCGCCATTTCTGCACTGGGAGTCAAAGGTTCCCAGCTACTGAGCAGAGTGCTCGGTGCGACACTGTAAGTTGTGGATTTTGTGTATTATGCCAGCGGTGTGTTTTGAGATCAAAATAATGTATGACTATTACGTTCAGCAATGCTGGCTTCACTGATTGGCCGTTTGTGCCACAGTGAGCTTTAATTCTTGTGTAAAACCGTTAGTGCTGGCATATCTAGCATCTGCCTTATAATGTCTAGTTTGCCTGTGCAGGCTTCAAGATTTTGCTGGGGCTGGAAAGCTTCTCGCTAGTCTTCAAATGGGGCAGTTAATAACATTGGGCGTGATTTGCACTGGCAGAGTTAGGGAGGGCTATAGACGAGCCATCTGACGTGATGTGGGTCCTCTACTAATAACTAACGACAATAAACATAATCATCATCATCATGATCATAACTGACATAATATGAAATGCAAATACTTTTTTTGATATCCTACCCCAGCTGACGTCGCATGACAGTCCAAAATTTTAGAGGGTGGTAAGACTGGGTTTCTCTGCTTTCTGATGCTTTTAACGACCCCAAAACATCTAAAACTGTCCCTAACCATGACCCACCTACATCCCACGAGAGAGTGCAGCCTGGGACCCATGAATGCGTGCAGCCTTAGTCCCACAACTGCATGCAGCCTATCTACCACCCCCTGAAATCTTAGATTTTCCCATGAACTGTGGATTTCTCCTGTTCGGAGTGGGATATTATTAAAGCACCGAAATGCATAAGCAATTACTTTAATCGTTAGATGGCATGTTTACTAAAAACTGCTGTAGGTTAGGAAACTTGGACAATGAATGGGCAACTAGAAAATCGTGTTTAGTCTCTGGAAAAATGGATTTAGAGAAGAAAATGTCGTATTTCATGGAGGCAAAAAGAAAGAAATACAGAGGTTCTGGACAGACTAGGAAATAAAGAGAGAATTACTAAAAGAAAGAAAAAAAAATAAACAATCAAAATTTAACCAAATTAAATAGCATCACACTCTTTTGAAAACCATCTTAGAGGGAACGGTCGAGGTCAGAAGAGCAATAGGCAGATAACGATGCAAGCTGGAAGACAATGTCAAGAGAAAGACAAACATCAGTCTGTGAACGTGTACAAGGAAGACAAAAGACAGCGAGTTGGCGATCCATTGCAGCCAACCCTCATTGTGTAGACGGCACTTGATTGACTGAGCAACGTTACAAGAGAAATTATATCATTGGCTGTGGAGGAAGGGCGGGTGTAGTTTCATGATGCTTTTTGATGCTTAGATGGGGGGGAGGGCAGGAAGGGTCCTCAGTGCCAATGCTCCTGCTCCACTGGTTAAGCAGCATTAGTAACAGCAAGTTTTAAAAAATTATTATGCATAAAAAATATGGAGAAAAAAAAAAGGGGGGGGGGGGGAGTAGTGAATAAAATGTGAGGCAATTATTAAATAAAATGATAACATACCTTTTTCTCTTGTTGATTTCTGAGTTTTTTGGTTGTCCTTTGGCGGGAACCGCCTTCTTTTGCCTTCTGTACCTTTATAGCTCCCTGTATCTTTAAGGCCGCTGGTGCATTTTTGTTGCCCTCAAACGTCAACCTCGGGGTGAGTTTAGCACCTTCGCTTAGAAGTACATTACCCGTCCGAGGTGTCTTAAGGCGTTTCGAGGACTTCTTGGCGGCTTTTTTGGCCTGTATCTGTCCTTT